GGGTACACCACTGTAGCTAATATAATTTTCAAATTTCAATAATGTAAAATGTTGTGAATAATAATGTAAATTACCTACCTAATTAATTTTGACAGTGTACCTAAATGAGTAGTAATTTAGTATAATATTAATTTATAATTTTCGACTAATATATTTTAGTATTTTTCTATTTTTCTATTTTTACACATTCTCGAATTAAAATTTTATATTTTTAAATTGGTAGGTAATAATTTTTTGTTTTTTCAGTTTACACGACATTGAAAAGTTGAAAATATATTGTATTAACAAACACACTGAATGTGTGTTTTAAAATTATCTCTTGAAAATTTTTTTTTTTATTGATAAGATATGTAAAGTGGTAAAGTGGAATTTGGATAAAGCGATAGCGATGTCTCTTAATCATTTAGTCAAAGCAAAGTAGGTAATCATTTTAAAAACATTCTTATCTCAAATTTAAATAAGAATTAAGCAATAAATAATAATGGCATAATGATTAATTTATACTAATTAGAACTTCAAATCCATTTCATATATAAAAAATAATTATGTTCTAACAATATATTACCTATAGATTACAATGTTTATTTTTTAAAGATGTCCAATACTAGTAGTAGTGATATAGATGAGTTTTTTGATGCTGAAGATTTTGCAGTTTGTGATCAAAAGTAATAATGTTTTTTTAATACCATTGTTTAGTTTACATTTTATAAAATGTTTGTTTGTTTGTTTTGAAGTGAACAATCCAAACAAACGGTCAAAACCGAAAAAGAACTTTTGGAAGAAAAAAAAAAAAATATGACATTCAAATTATCAAGTGCTCCCAAATCGGTATAATTAATTAATAACAGTATTTTTAAAGAATTATTTACAAAAATAATCATACTAGGTTTCAGAGCACAATGGTCGCCGTAAATTCAATGAAATTCGGCAGCACATGCAAATCGATGAAGACGAAATGCAAGCAGTATCTCCAACTGAAAGTCAAACCTCATCAGCTGATGGAGTATTCTTAGCACCTTCACATAGACCTAGTCATCCTTTTAGAGTTATTGAGCCTGATGGGGCATCTGTGCAAAGTATATTATCCTTGGGCAAAGTTGGTCGATTATTGGGGAGCGTTCCTACAGATCATTTCATAGGTTTGTATATTAAATTATTATATGTATTATATAAGTATATATTTTTTTTGATTACATTTTTTAAAGTGATTTTAAAATAAAGTAACTTTTAGGAAAAGAATCTGCTCTGCGGCCATCAGAGAACAATAAATTATCTGAACCGGACACACCTGTTTCTGTTGAAGATAAACCTATTGTACCTCCTGAACCTTTCACAGCTCTCCATGAACCTGATGTAATTTTAAGCACAAAATCTTCAAATAATGGTACTGTTAGTATAGATACTGATAGACCTATTGCCCCTCCAAGACGACGAAAACTCAAACAAATTAACATTACAATTGAAAACGATGGTGCTAAAATAGAAGATAATTCAAATGTACATATATTATTAAGTTACAGGATCAATTTAAGGGTTGTATGAATTTATTTAATATTTTTTGAATAGAAATTGAATATTGAAAAAGATGAAACTAGTGTCAATTGTTTAACGAGTCCAGTGAGTACTATAGAATCACTGACAAGAGAATTAGAGCATTCGTTAGATCTTCATTCTGCTACCAAAGGTCAATATATCGTAAATCATCATGTAAGTAAAATATTTTATTTTAGGTTTTGCTAACTTTTTTCAATAAGCGTGATTGTAGAATATCTGTATTCAAATAGTTTTAAAAATACATCCTTTAAGGAATTATGTTGACTGCACTCTACTTGCAAGAATATTTTTAAATATTGATATTGTATAAAATGTTATACATTTTTAGGTTAGAGAAAAACCAGTTCTTAATATGATTAAAGAAGCAATCGAAGAAGTGAAAGAAAAATCTAAAACAATGGCTTCGCATAGTAATACCTACCCAATGGCTGGTCCAAGTGGTATAGCTTCTAATCGATCTTGTAATCGTGTTGCTTCGCGGGAACGTCGAAGATCAGCTGGCGATGAACAGGAGTTAAGAGATCAGCAGCTAAATATGTTTTTGAAAACTCATACAGATTCCGGGAAAAAATTAACTGATATAGTGAGTATTTTTTATTAATAAATATGAATCATTATAATAAATTATAAACTTTTTCAAAAACAGGAAATATTGGAACAAATAACTGTGTTAAATTTGGATACCGGGGAAAGAGTTCCACTAAGTATAGCTGAAGATAAATTACCACAATGCATTAACCCATTATCTCTACATATAATGCGTTTGACATCAGAATATGTAAGCACTCCCAATTTAGACTCCCATTCATTTAGAACAAATTCTATTAAGAAACTTAAAGAATCTGATGAAGAAAGCATTGGCAGTAAATCTAATGATACAGTAGCTACTGGACGAGATGACCCTGTAGATGAATCTGCCATACGTCGTCGCACAGCAAGAATCAAACGATTTTTGGGTACAACTGTCAAAAAAACTGTAAATAAAGCAAGAACTATCGCACACGAAGTATCACACGTAAGGCACAAAGAAGATGTTATGGATATTGTAGATTTAGTAGAAAGGCCACAACCCGCAACTGACGTTCCTAATGCTCCTCAAGTTAATGAAACATTCAAATTGAGAGCATCAAATAGCCATAAAGGACCCTATGAATTTGATTCTGTTCAGCATGTTCAAGTTAGTTAATTAAAACAAACAATTTTAAATACATAATTTTATATTGCTTACATTTTTCTTTTTAGGAATTCTGCCATGAACATACTGGTCCTGTATGGTGTATGAAATTTTCTATGTGTGGTAGACTATTGGCTACTGCTGGACAAGACCGTGTACTTCGAGTTTGGGTGTTGCGAGATGCTTATAAAGATTTTCACGAAATGCGAAAAAAATATGATGCTGATAAAGTTTCACCAACCCCGTCAACAGAATCTTTAGTTTCTCAACTCTCGGTAGATGATCAATCATTTTCAGCTGATCCAGACGATCGTGGGCCGTTTATGTCACGTCCATTTTGTACTTACACCGGACATCGTTCTGATTTGCTGGATATAGCTTGGTCAAAAAATTACTTTGTCCTGTCATCATCAATGGATAAAACTGTTAGGCTATGGCATATAAGCAGAAGAGAATGTTTATGTTGTTTTCAACATATCGATTTTGTAACAGCTATATGTTTTCATCCACGCGATGATCGTTATTTTTTGAGTGGGTCACTGGATGGAAAACTTCGTCTTTGGAATATTCCTGATAAAAAAGTAGCTGTTTGGAATGAAGTTGAAGGGCAGACTAAGCTCATTACTGCCGCTAATTTTTGTCAGAATGGTAAATTTGCTGTTGTAGGTTCATATGATGGTCGGTGTATATTTTACACAACAGATCAATTACGTTATCATACCCAAATACATGTGCGTTCTACAAGAGGCCGAAATTCAACGGGACGTAAAATAAGTGGTATTGAACCAATGCCTGGTGAAGATAAAGTGTTGGTAACTTCAAATGACAGTCGTATTAGATTATATGATCTCAGAGACTTAAATCTGTCTTGCAAGTATAAGGGCTATGTTAATATAAGTAGTCAAATCAAAGCTAGCTTCAGTCACGATGGCAAATACATTGTATGTGGGTCAGAAAACCAATGCATATATGTTTGGAAAACCCATCACGACTATTCAAAATTCACATCAGTAAGACGAGATCGTAACGATTACTGGGAAGGAATCAAAGCTCATAATGCTGTTGTGACATGTGCAATTTTTGCCCCTAATCCAGAAGTGGTGTTTAGACAAATGAAAACAGATGAAAACAGTAGCCAAGATGGATATGTTTTTGTAAGTGCAGATTTTAATGGTTGTATACGTGTATTTGTCAATCGAATGAAACCTAAACATAGTTCGTTACCAGCCAGTGCTATGGCATAATTTTATTCAACCGGAATTGGAATTTTTTATTTTAATATTACAATTTTGTGCTTGGCTTTGTAATGTAAATAAAAAAAACTTCGATTATTGAAATAAATTTTATATGTTATATGTTTTATTAATTAGTGACAATTTTAACTATTAGAAAATAATAATTATACTATTATAGTAATTATTAGCAGATGGTGAGGTATAATTAATTTTAATTTGTTACCATTATTTTATAACAAAATGTATTTTAAATCAATTCGGCTTCTGGTAATATTGTTTTTATGAATGTTAAATATTTTTTAATACATTATCAACAAAATAATATCTACTCTTCAGTTTTTTATTTATTTACATAATATGTCACCGTTAATAATAATCCTTAATTTTAAAAGATTAAAAATTTTACTCTACATCAAATATTAAATTTGTAATTTGGTGAATGGTTTTAATTGTATAACTGTTTTAAGGAATTAATTGTATTTATCATCACTATAAAACTCCAAATAATATTGTCCTGTTCAATGTTAGTAGTTTATAAAATACTGGTGTATAATTAATTTGTTCCTGTTGTAAATGTTGAAAACTATTATACTTAGGATACTGTTGGAAGTATCTGTGATGCATATAATACTATAGTCTATAATAGTATGTAAGTACAGAACATAACTTTTGATTAATATTTATTAGTTATTAGTTTATTACTTATTAGTTATTTTTAATTGATAATTGTATTATCCAGTCTGCTGATGGCTGATCCACATAATAGATGACATCTATTTCATCTATTCTGTTGCTGATCTCTGAATATTAGAGGAGTGTTCACTTATGTTAGTGCCATTTGTGGCCTGATCAAATAAATTTCATCTTTGACACTAAAATGTTCACCTATCACACAAGACCAAAATAAATTATCTGTATTGGCAGTGATCTTAAAATAAATTTATTTGTACAATGTTGAACACTTGGAGTTTAATTTATAAATGGTAATTATTCATATTATAATGAAATTATCTAATCTAAACGTACAAAATATTTTTTTATGATTGTGGTTTCCATTTATTTTCATAATTGTTTATCAGAAGGCTCTTATACTTTTTTAATTTTACATCTAATTCATCACCATCTAATTTGGCAGACAATACTTCTACTCTTGATACTAAAAGAAAATCTGGATTATTTGGACTAGGACCTTTGACCAGATCCACCTCATCGCCCACTTCTATTGCGTGGCTTTTCTTCAGAACTTTTTCTCCATTCACTCGGATTCGACTTTCATAAAAAGCTACTTCAATTTTACTAAAAACAATACATATTGATATTTTAATAAATCAACAATCGTAATACTCATAGCGCCAGACCAATTACTTTCTAGACTTTCCTAGTGCGTGCTTTAGGACAGTATCCATTCTCATCGTACTGGTCCTGAATTTAACCAGTTGACTGGATTCATCCATTTCTAAATCTAATTCATCGTCAGAATCTCGATCGTTCTACAAAATAAATAAATAAATCGATAAATAACAGATTCAGTGGTCGGGGAGGTTAATTGATTCGTTTGGCCAGGTATTACTTCTTTCTTTGTACGTTTGTAACGTCTGCCCGTGTTGACGCACTGAAATTTGTTTGCCAAAATCGGCTGACGACATTGGTAGCAGCTGACACTCCGTACCGAATGTCTGTTCAAAACTGATGACCGCAATCCAAAGGGAAAGGCGGTCGACGAGAGTCGGGACAAAAGCCTTAGAGTATTGAACATTTTGCTCGGATATCGTTTGAGACTACGAAAACCGTAGAACAATAATAATGGCAATACACGACTGTCTGTGCTACCCGGACATGTGAAATTCCTAAAACGACGTACGAATTGGGAATTAAAATATAATTAATGTATATTCAATATTGTAAATTTATAATATCAAAAATTAATAAAATTATTTTCAAGAAATGAAATTCGGCGACGGGAATATAATAAATAATAATATTGTTATCTACTCGTTATGAGTGCTCGCCGCTACCAGATAACAGTATCAGTACGAAACACGAACGCGATTACGGCATTTAAATAGAAGTATTTTCCATCATATATTCGACCGGGAGCGGCGGCGCGCTCCTGTAATCCGGCTGCTCGGAGGTCGGATTGCGTGGATGGTTTGAGGTGGGGGTAACTGCGGCGGGACGTTCCGCGTTGAACGGACGTCCGCGCTAAGCTTGCTGTCAATATGGATCCGGCGGGGGAGCCCATCGGATCCAGGTTAGCTAAGGCGAGGCGAACCGGGCCAGGGGGGAAACCCAGCAGCCAAAAGTCTCCGCGGTGAGCAGTAGCGGGATCGCGTCTGCGAGTAGAATGCTCGTTTGCAGCCCCGCCGACACAACCAGACCGCAATCTATAATTTTTGCGTTTTTTTTTCACGTTTTTTTCGTTTATTTTGATCTATATTAATAGTGCAATTTAGTTAGTTTATTATAAATAACTTTTGAACTTTTAGTTGCAACTCAATTACTCTTGCAATGTATTATTCCAATGAACAGTTAGTTAATATTTAAAATTTTAAAACAGTTTTTTTGTAAAAGATGTATTTTGGAAAAAAGTTTACTACTCCCTAAAGTCCAACTCAGTTACCACCTTGATTACAATTTCAACTACCATATCATAAAATCTAAATCGTTCAGAATCAAAAGAAATTTAATTCGTAATAAGTAGGTTATACAGAAAGTTTGTAACTTAGGGATCGCGTCTGCGAGTAGAACGCTGGTTTGCAGCCCCGCCGACTCTACCGGGCGGCGATCTAAATTTTTTGCGTTTTTTCCACGTTTTTTTTTTGCGTTTTTTTCGTTTATTTATTTTTATATGGAACTAATAATACATATTAGTTAATATAAATAACTTTTTAACAACTTTTATATTACAATGAACAGTTAATATTTAAAATTTTAAATTCGTTTTTTTTTAAAAAACATTTATTTTGTAAAAAAATGTACTACTCCCCAAAGTCCAACTCAGTTCCCACCTTGCTTACAATAACAACAAGTAACAACCCTATTATAAAAGCTAAATCATTTAGGTTTAAAAGAAGTTTATTCGTGATAAATTGGTTGTATACTTGTATAGAAAGTTTAAAACATTATAGCCTATTATAGGGATCGCGTCTGCGAGTAGAACGCTCGTTTGCAGCCCCGCCGGCTCTACCGGGCGGCGATCTAAACTTTTTGCATTTTTTTCCATGTTTTTTTTTTTTGTTTTTTTCCGCGTTTTACGTTTATTTATTTCAATTGAAATAACTTTTGAACTTCTTTTTTAATTAAATACGGTTGCAACTTAACTACCCTTGCAAAGGTAATTGTTATTGTGTTATTACAATAGACAATTAATATTTTAAATGTTGAAATTGTTGTTTTATAAAAGATTTATTTTGGAAAAAAGTTTACATTTTATTACACCCCGAAGTCCATCTCAGTAGTCAGTTACATTAACAAATACCCTAATATAAAAGCTAAATCATATAGAATCAAAAGAATTTTAATTCGTGATAAGTAGGTTATATAGAAAGTTTCAAACATTATAGGGACGCTTGTTTGCAGCCCCGCCGACACAATCAGATCCAAATGTTTAGGGATTTTTCTTTACATTTTTTTCCCGCGTTTTTTTCTTTATTTATTTCAATTGAAATACGTAGGTAATATGTATAATGGATGTGTTTTATAATATATTAGCGGCGATTAGGGTGTAACATAATATAATAGTATTATTAATAAAAAAACGTACACAGAGATTAGTGCCTACCTATATACTATACCAATGATTCAATACATAATTTTAGCTCACTCAAAGGAGTAATTAAAAAAAAAAAAATGTCCGTAAAAAATCAGATAATAATGTGTGTGTGTGGGAGGCCAGTCGGCGATAGTCTGTGATGTATTTTACAGGGAGATCAAGACATTATATAGGCACGACAATATTAAATTAAATATAATAATTATTTTACTCATTACGAATACGGAATAATACGGGGACGATGTGCGCAGCGGACAATTTGCATTCTCATCTAAAACCAAATCGTCGAAAACCTCTGGTCGCTGAATTTTCATCCGTCACTCTCACAGGTCACCCTCTAAGCCAGGGGTCGGCAATCAGTATCTGAGGGGGTCCGGAGATTTGAAAAAAAATTTGGAGGTCCAGAAAACCTTTTTGATTATCATACTATTCCGGGTCTAATGGTCTAACTACAGAAAAAAATATTGAAAAATAAATCAGCATTAAAATAAAATAGTTTTGGCGTCCATTAATTTCCCTTCCGTGGTTCCTCGCCTGCAGTTTCCGACCCTTGTTCCAAGCGTTAGCTACTTTTTCTAATAATTGTAAATCTATAGCACCTACCTACTTATTTATTATTATATTCGACTACAAAAAAAATACTAAAAAAATATAATATTATATACATGTATTTACAAAATACAGAAAATTGTCTTACTTACCTACTTAGTTTATAGGTACCATTGTACCAAGTTTAATTTTGCTGAGCTGAAATAGTTTCTTACCATCACGTGGACCCATTAACTTTTCCATATTGTCCAATAGCTATGAAACATCGAGGTACGTACAATATTATTTCGGATCTGTGTTCTGATAAATAATAGCTTTTGTTCATTCAAAATTGCCTTCATTGTTGACGTGTACACCTAATAATATGTATCTAAAACGGTGTAATGATTTATATTGAGAATAAAAAGAACAATTAATTTTGCACAAACTTAAAGAAAGTTAAAAAGAATTTGGAAAACTTGAAGTAATTACAAATTAAAACGGCAATAGGAAAAATTTTATATTATTCGCACGAAAGTTAAAATTGTGGAGTATAATATAATTTAAATATTTTTTAAATAAAATTGAAATATAAAAATTAATAAGAAATGAATACATTTAATAGATTGGTTTCTAGCATCGATTAAAAGAAAATAAGTAACAGACATATTATAAGGCCAGCATAGTTTTTTTTTATAACAATATAAAATATGAATAAATAATAATTGTTTATAAACGTTTCATATTATTATGTTTGTAGCCAATTCACAATTATAAAAATTATTACTAAGTAGGTATATAGCACTATAGCCTATCATTAAAGCCAGGACTAGTGAGTAGTGATAAACATATTTTTCATGACAGTTTTATAATTTCTCATATTAATTTCTTATCAAATATAACCATTGATATTATATAGTTATTAGTTAGGTATAGTATAGTTAACCTAAATAGTTATATTTAAACTGTATTACCATTTACACATTTTAATGTTATACTATTAAACATAATATAGGAAATACAAATACAAATAAATTTATCTCGGCAATAAATGTGCATTTTTATCTATATTATTAAAACAATTGTATTTTTACTTCAAGTACCTATAAATGATAAGAGTATAAACCGTTTTCCTACATCCTACATTAATTGATTTTTCCATTTTTTTGTAATTTATTGATTGAGTTATTACTTATTTCCACAATTTTACACTAACTACTTGTTATGATTAGTTGTATAACTTATAAGTTATTAGGTACTTCTTAATTCTTACATTGTACCTAGTCTTAACACAAGACCATAATATAAGTCAGAACTATTTAAAATTATTAATGAATATGTTTTATTTAACATATATTATCGGTACCTACCTAGTACCTATATTATACTTTAATTTTAGTTCATATTCACATTTCACAGTCATTTAATTCCTAATGTAATAATAAACATTTAACTAACATGACAACCGTAAAACCTCAACAATTAAAAGTTATGTAAAAAAAAATCATTAAAAACCAAGTTTTCAAATAAAGTGGAAAACTGTCAAGCTTACATCTCTAGGTAGGTCCGTTCTATTAGGACTCCCGCTATAGTCTCATGTTAAATAGAAACTTATGGGGCATAAAAATTGTAGATTTAATTCAATTTGGGTGTCAATACTGCAACCGTTATTTTATTATTGAGATAGGTACATTAAATATGTGAAAATATTATCATATATCATTATTATACTATTATATTAATATTATCATTATACTTAACTAGTTATCTATAATTCTCTAAATCCTGAATGTATTATGTTACGTAATTTAATACTAACCTTGTAAAGTTGTAACTATACTAGTATCACTACTTAGTACACTATAGGTACCTCAGTACCTGTATAAATAAATTAAAATTTATAGCTGTTGTCTGTCAATAGTAAAATGCATTGTTAATTTATAAGATTCAAATTTTCAGTGAACGAGCCCAACACAGCCGGTCCCTTTTTGATAGAAAAACAAAGTTTTTGTTGTTTTGGATCATTGGCAACTTTCATATTAACGCTACCTAAATTTATCATTATCTTCGCGTTTTGATATTAATTGGTTTTTATATTTGTAGAAATCAATTTATGTAAAGCTTCAAAAACTAAATTTAGTTAATAAAATTATTCACTTACAAATTACAGAATACCACAAACGAAAAAATATCGAAATAATTAATTATAATAATTAGAGCCATGGTGGAAAGATCCTGGGGTATCTGGGTTTATCATGGCTGATTTGATGACATCTAGTAATTGTTCATAAAAATGATGCAAATGATCTATAATATTATAATATTATCGTTTTTCGTATACGCAATGATGAATGATTATTATAAATGTAACATACAAACCATAGTGACCATTACAATTTATTTTAACTTAAGACATCACTTAACGTTTTATAAGTAATTTCGCTAGTACCTACCCT